CCAGTATTTGTCGGAATAAGCCTCCTAGCTAAAGTCGGTTTCTGTAACTGATAGCTGAAAGGATCTTCTAGGAAAACAACCAAAGGACTCCATCTACCTGCCTCGTCTGCTTCCTAGAAAGCCTTGCAGGACCCTTCTCTTACTCCCCAGGCCCCTGGGGACCTAAAGTCAGCATCCATGTTGGCACAGAGCGATTTACACTCTCTCTCTCTGCCTCTCTCCCTCTTTCTCTCCCGGCACTCCCATGACCCTGTGTAACTTTTCTCCAGCTTCCTTGAGGCTGGACTCTGTCCTGCCTGATGTTTGCTTACAGCTTGTCTCCCCACTGTAAGCTTGTACACACACACACGAAGGGGCCTCATGCGTGCACATCAGTAAATCTGAACGCTGAAGAGAAGCCTCTCTCTCCGGGCAGGAACTCACCTCCCTTGTCTTCCCTGCGTTCTCTTCTTCCTATCTCATTGGCCCAGGAGCTGTGGGCCAGGGCCCACACTTCGGCCCACATCACCAGGGCCACTCTTTGGAGCTCAGGGGCCCCTTTGATGAAGGCTACAGACATTTTCCACCAAAAAATGGGCATGCACACACACACAATTTTGCATGCAACAGCAGTTCTCGGCTTCCTGGTGAAGGATCACTTCGCTAGGAACAGGACTACCCTCTGCCCCTATGCACACCCTCTGCCCACCCTCTGCCGCTATGCACATGCGCCACCATTAATTCCCACGCTCTCTGGCTTCGCTTCCAGAGCTACCGAGGAAGTAAAGCTGGTTCCTTCCTCCTAGAGCTTATACACACACACACACACACACACACACGTATGCACACATCCTTAACAATTACAGGCAGTCACCCTTACGTGTCATCAAAAGCTTCCCCGTTAGGCCACTTCCCCGGGACAAACATTTCAAAATTTCCTAGATTACAGTGGATCTCACATAAGTGGGTTTTAAGTGCTTCCCTTCGAGGGGAGGCATTCTTGGACCCTGACGGAGATTAGGAAACTGCCAAGCCTTATCAGCAGCAGACTTGGCCAGAATTTCTTAGGTGGGTTCTTTCCTGGGAAGATTATCACAGTGATTAATCTCACCCGCTTTTTGTTGTCAGTTTCAGAAGCTGACATTTCTGGCCTTGTTCCCAGGTTCGAGGGATATTGTCAGTTCGAAACCTGCAGCTTCTTATATACTGACTCTACCTTCTGGTTAGGAAAGGGTTCCGAAAGCGCAGGAGGGGTGTGGGCGCCTTCTCCAAGTTAACTGGAGGTGCCGAGGGAAAGAAAAAGTGAAGAGAAGATGGAAAGAAGAAAGACGGTGTGGAGGCAATAGAGAAAGCAGCATCAGGGGCCAGTCAGGGCTGGGCAGGGAGCCCTCATGCCCACCGGGGCCCGAGGCTCAGGATCGCCCCCGAGCCCCAAGGCTTCTCTTCAGCCCAGTCAGTGTCCTGATGTCCTTGTTTTGGTTGGCTACTTGCTTTCCAATGGAGTCAAGAAAGTCTGGGGCGGGCTTTCTCCATCTGGGCACCGCTGACGTTTGGGGTCAGATGCGTCTTTGTCATGGGGGCCGTCCTGGGCGGGGGGGCTGTTCCGCAGCGCCCCTGGCCTCTGCCCACTGGACGTCAGTGAGCCCTCCCACCAGTAACAACTAAACATGTGCCCCAAGTTGGGGACAAGACCGCCCCTGGCTAAGAACCGGTCAATTGAGGAAAGTTTTAGCCGGAGAGACTTAGGTTCCAACTCTCACTCCATCCCTTGCACGCCTCTGACCTTGAGAACACCCACTATTGATTTGAGCCTGTTTTCTTGTCAGCAAAGAATATTTCTCTCAGAAAGTTGTTTTGGGGATGAAATATGTGAAAAGCACATAGGTTCACAACAGGGTCTCAACAAACATTCGTTCCCTCCCAACTGCAGCCTCATTTACTTCACAAATATTTACTGAGTACTTAGGATATAAACACAACACACAATTCTTGTCCTCCAGGAGCAAAGAGACTCACAGAGCAGCAGCCACTGGAAGAGACCACGTGCATTAGCAGAGAATACTTACAAATCTTGTAACTCTGGCCCTCTTTTTCTTTTTTTTTCCTTATAGTTAACCTCTCTCCATGAACTCGCTGTACCTGCTTCCTAATAGAGGAAGGGGCCCCTGAGTTGGGTCTTGAAAAATGGGAGAACCACACAGGCTTGGAAACAGCAGGGCCAAGGCCAATGGCGCGGGAATCTGGGAAACCGTGTTATCCTGTGGGCGAGAGGGAGGGCGAGTGGGAGAAGCTGGTGCAAGGTGGAGGAAGCGAAGAGGCTTGGACTCTCTCTGGCAGGTCAGGCGGGGTCCCCCAGGGTGCTGCTCTCAGGATGGGGACAGGATCAGACCTGCTCTGGCAAGCCAACCCTGGCAGCAGTGGGACGACAAAGGAGAGAAGGAATGCAGGGCGGAAGAGCTGGGGAGCAAGACCAGTCAGGAGCCATTGATTCCAGACGAGCACTAATGAGGGCCTGAGCTGTAGAATCCGCAACGAGGCGGCGAGATGCCAGGAGGCTCGGGGACATCAGGATGTAGAACTGACAGGAGCTAGTGACTGATTAGATGAGGAGACGGGTAGCAAGTGAAGAAGGAACAGAGGTGATTATAAGATTCCAGCCTAGAAAATTAGGTGGATCCCGATGGCATTTAGAAATGACAGGCACCCAGGAACTGCTCCTTTTCTCTTTCACGGCTGCTACCACTGACACCGTGCAGAGGGGCCAGTCCCCGGCTCCCACCTGACAGATTGGTGCACAACTCAGTTTGGCAAACCCGGGAGCGTGTGTGGCCGGCCCCGCCCAGCAGCCCAAGGCCGGGTTAGCCCTGTCCGTCTTTGCTTGGTTCTGGGCAGGCCCAGGGAAAGCGTATCAATGGACAATCGTCACTGTTGGTGGGGAGCTCACAATCCAGACGGCATGGACACACAAAGGCCGAGTACAGCACAGCGCGCCCCGTGCTGCGTGTGGACGGGCTGCGGCAGAGAAGGTTCCATGAGGGGCATCGGCAATGGAGCACGAACTGGGGAGAGAGGCGAGGGGACGAGAAGAGTGTTCTAGCCGGAGTAACGGCGCCTGCAAAGGCGTGAAGGGGTGGCATAATTTGGCATGGCTGTGGGGTGGGGTGAGGTGAAGAGAGGCTGGACGTGCAGGCAAGAGCCAGATGGGAACAGGTCTGGGGAGCTAAGGATTATCAAAGGTAGAATCATCGAGTGATGGGACGCGGGGAAGTTTCCGAGAAAGCCCCCAGCGCCTGCCCAGTATTGGAGAGCAGGTAAGACACCAAACATCTCAGTGCTTGGTGCTAAAAGATAAACTGAGGCATGTGAAACACTTTCGGGGCTTGAGTAAAAAATAACTCCAGCCGGGCAGCGTCAGACTGGAAGTGGTGAGGCTCGCTCCAGCGCGGGGCCTGCCGAGAGGCGGACACACAGCAAGGACGGTGTTTGGTTGGCTGTCGCTTAAGCTGTTGCATTATTTGGGAAAGCCCACGTGGCTGTTTGTGACCGGCTGGTCTTAAGTTTTGATTTCTTCACCTTGAGGCACTGGCAGGCTTAGGGCTGGGTGTGCTTCCGTAGGCTGCTGGGGTATCGGACCCACTTCAGTCTAACGGCCTCCTTAAGGCCAGGACTCTGGTCGTCCCTGTACCCCCAGCCCAGCTGAGGGACCCCCAGCCCAGCTGAGGGCCGGGCACAATCGGCCTCGTAAGTGTGGACGAATGAATGATCTGTCTGACAACCTTTCCTGAACGTCCTGCCTTCTACGGTCCGGTTGGGTCATCTTGCCATATCTAAACGACAAGGGCAGCACAAGGAGTGAATTTGGCTCCAGAAGATCTGGGTTCTGCTACTGTCTCATGCTAACGTGGACCTTGGGCAAAGTACATACGTCCTGATCTGAGAATCTAGGGTTCTCATCTGTGAAGATGGGATTTTAAAAAAATCCTGGGAATCTCAAAATAATGTGTGAAAATACTTCATAACACTGCTCAAACGTAAGCTGTATATATTATGCATTATCCTCTTCTTAACAAATACACCTGTGCTTAAAAGTCAGAAAAAATATGTTGAGCTTGAAGTTATTGTATTACAGGCCAGTAAAAATACTGTTAATTGTATTTTTCCACTGGCATTCATGTTGTCCTACTGGAAACTGCACATTAAGACTCTGGTTGTTCCTCGCTTGCTCCAATCAGTTACGCTCACCTTCTTGGTGTACCTTAAACACGCCGAGCAGGCTCCCACCTCAGGCCTCCGCCCCGCTGTTCGCTCGTCCCCTGATAACACAAGAAGGTCATGTCTGCACTTCCTCCAGGCCTCCGCCCGGAAGCCGCCTCACGGGGCCTTCCCTAAGCACTCCGTGGAAAGCGGCTCCCACCTTCCTTAGCCTGTCTTCCTTCCCTTGACGGCAATCATCACAGCCATGTTTTTGCTTCTTCTTGGCCTCCCGTGAAAATGTAAGCCCCACGAAGAGAGTGCTTCCCTTAGAGCTGCATCCACAATACCCAGAACGGTGCTCGGCACATGGAAGATACTCGGGGCCTTGTGCTAGGTAGTCTGCTAAAATGAACGACACTGGGCAAAGAAATGAAGTTTTTCACTGTCACCTGTCATCAGGTGGAATGAAAAAGGACTTGCAAAATAAAATAGGATAGAAAATAGCAGGATTAGAGGAGATCTAGTCTTGCCATTGCCCGGAAAGTCATTGTTTCTGAGCCTCAGTGTTCTTATCCGTAAAACAGGAGTAGGGATACCCTCCACTTGCCCGCATCACAAATCTCGGGACTGCTGTGGAACTTAACGGGGTCTCACATAGCATTTAATAGGGTGCGTTTCTGTCTTTACTGTTCACTCTTCAAGAGCAGGGACCTGGTCTTACTCGTCTATTACAGGACTTGGCACGGACCTGGATCTCTACATAATTGCCTAAAAATAGAGAACAAAGGTTGAAACTCTCCTTTGAGAAATGAACTGGGCTTCAGATATTCATGCTCCAGATGATTTTTATAGTCACTGTGTCATTTCATTTCATACAGCAGACAAAACAATTAATGCGTCTGAGCAGATAGGAAGATTCTGTTAGTCTGGGTTTTGTTCAGGATAAAGAATACAAATGCTTGTTTTTACTAAATGAATGGTTCTCCTGAATCAGCGCTGAAAAAATGCTTATGCTCTTCTGATGCTTCTGACACAGGCAGAAGACATGTGCTCCCACCGACAGAGCGCCAACCCTTGAATGAGTCCTTAACACAATGGAGAATGAAGTGCTAACTCAGGGGTACGAGCCAAACCTCCACTGCTTAGTTGGCTGTCCAGCTGGAATCAGACATCTGAAAATTCTGCACACTTTCACAGGTAACTACTCTCTTTTCAAAGAACCAGATCAAGATTAGGAGGAACAAAGTTATAGTAGCTGGTAGTTTAAACAATTATTTAGTATAAACCCAGGTTCTTTTCGTATATCCATTAGATTGGGGAAAAGGGGGTGCCCGGGTGACTCAGTCGGTTAAGCGTCTGCCTTCGGCTCAGGTCATGATGTCGGGCTCCCTGCTCAGTGGAGAGCCTGCTTCTCCCTCTTCCTCTGCCCCCTCCCCCCCAGTACTCTCTCACTCTCTCTCGCTCTCACTCTATCTCAAATAAACAAATAAAATCTAAAAAAAAAAAGACTGAGGGAAAAGGCTTAGCCCTAGACTCCAAAAGTAGCTCCTTCTTCAAAAGCTTGTGAACAGACAGTAAAGCTGGGGAGGCGATGGGGAATGGCTTGTTCTGTGCCAGCATCGTATATTAACTCACTTAATCCTCACAAACCATTCTCTGAGGATTACAGTATCATCCCCATTTCACAGACAGAAAGCTAGTCTGTCTAGATAAAAGCAGCTCGCCCAAGGTGGCGCACTGGAATTTGAACCTAAGCGGTCTGTGTTCTCATGTGCCACACGCAGTCATGAACTGCAAATGGATGAATGCACACTGCACACCATACACTGGAATCCAAGAGGAATCCAACAATGACCATTTACCTTTTGGAAATCATGGTCACATGGTTTCCATAGTTTGATCTACCACAGCTGGGCTAACGTGCTTCAGCAAATCCACTTAGACTAGGCTAGGTCGAGTCACCAAGAAATGATGCAATTTGGTGAGAGGATTTGGATGTGGGAGGGGATTATTAAAGGTGAGGAATTATTGAAAAGAAAAGTTTGGGAGTAACAGGAACTCCTGCACAAGTGCAAGACTGCCCCTCAAACAAATACAAGATGAAGAGGGACACGCTAGCAAGCCTTAACGAGAGTGCTGAGCTCCACTCACTTTGTAGTAATCTACATCTCCTGGGCCTGGGCACTTTCTTTATTACAAAAGAATGAAAAAAAAAAGCCAAGACTGATAAGAATGTCATGGTTAGAAGGTCACTAGTGAACAATCACATACAAAGAGCCCTCAAGATAAGACTAATGTGGGACATGAGACTAGGTGCTATAAGAAAGGTCACTGTCCTCAACAATTAATGGTCTCTGCTATTTGCACCTAACAACAACCCCTGAAAACCACCCATTCTTCCCTTCTAATGGCAGGTTCCAGAAGGTATCCATCAAAGAAGTGCTGCCCATAAGAGCATTCTTATTTACAACCAGCTTATACACATCTTATTCTCAAAGTCTTTTTTGACCTGCACCGGTAAGAAATAGTCTACTTCTCGGAAGTTGTTTTTGTTTTTTACTGTGAAAGAACAATGTTGATAAACTACTCATCTTTTAAAACCACAATCATAAAGTCAAACTCCTATATTACTACTGCATTTTTTTAGAGTGTTAGGGAGTCCCCAGCCTAGATGGGCTATGTTAAAAAAAATTTTTTTTAGGTTGCTCATTTAAATCTCAGAAAGCATTTCTTCCCTAGAAATATTCATCATAGTAATAAGGGAAATGGATCTGCTCATCAAAGCCTCATTTCCACATTCTCTCCCTCAATTTCTTGGTCTAGATTTATGGCTACTTAGGATGCTTCTAGGCTTTCCAGAGCCTCCCAGACAGGTCTCCATTTCCACCATGGAATTTTTTTAAGTGGGGTATTTTTAAGCTGGGAAATGTCTTACTAACAATTTAGTTTTCTATCACTTAAAATCTACTAGTTTTCATTTTTACAACACAGATTACACTTGATTGCCTTAAATTCTGTATGAAAAATATTTTAAGGCAATCAGAAAATTAAAAACAAAGAGGTATAAGAGAACACTAAAATGTCCCTAATGGTTTGTGGACTTCAAACATCAAAAGCAAGAGGCTATTTTGAAATATGTAATGACTCAAGTTTAAAGATGGGTGAATTTTAATTTAATCCTGTATAAAACCAAATGGTAGTCTAATACCACTGAGACTAAGTGCTGAAAAACTAAGTAATAAAACAAATACGTGAAACATGATTACAATTTAAATTCTTTGGGCTCTTTTTCTAAGCCCCCACTTTTAACACAGAATGAACTCTCCCAACCTAAGCACAGTGGTATTACTTAACACTTGACATCTAAAAGCTGTACTTTAGGAATGTTCCGTGAGTTTTCACAGCTATTGGGAAAGCTTTAAAAAGAAAAAGTGGGGCTTAAAAAGACATTTTCGGACTGTAGCATAGTATAACTGATACGAATACCGACTTAAGACTTTATGTCTCTAACGACATTCCTCTATTTTTCTACAAAAACCTTTTATCATCTGATAGTTTCATCAGATTTTCCATTTTCAACAGGTAACCTTTACTTCCGTTTCATCAGATTTTCCATTTTCAACAGGTAACCTTTACTTCCCATCATGTCCCAGATAACTGAGAGTCTTAAGATTTCCTAGACGTGGACCTCAGTCACTGAGTCCCCTTTCTAAATAAGGCAACCATTTGTCTTAATTTCCGTTGGAACAGGGTTTTATGCTCCAAACTGAATTTTCACTAGAGCGCACAGGATGTTCAAAAATGTTTCCCAAGGGGCGCCTGGGTGGCTCAGTTGGTTGAGCGACTGCCTTCGGCTCAGGTCATGATCCTGGAGTCCCGGGATCGAGTCCCCGCATCGGGCTCCCTGCTCGGTGGGGAGTCTGCTTCTCCCTCTGACCCTCCCCCCTCTCATGTGCTCTCTCTCTCTCGTTCTCTCTGTCTCAAAAAAAAAAAAAGTTTCCCAAAGCTCTCTTCTGGTCCATTCAGGACAATCAGCATGTAATCGAAGTGGCAGAAGGACTGGAGTCCTATTAGTCATATTTGATTCTCTCCACGGGGGGTTCCTCCTTGTAATGGGAAATTATTTGAATCAGGATGGAACAGTTGATAAGAAGGAAGAACAAACCAGCTAACCAGATAAACAGAAAGGTGTTCTTTCCCTGAAACTCGAGAACATAGGCAGGAGCCAGCCATAAGGCCTGCCCTATAAACCACAGCGTTAGGAGGAGCACAGCCCGTCTCCAGGGTATTCTCACGAGCGGCATCACAGGGGGCAGCAGGCAGAGGTACCAGAGAAAGTACTGGGAGGTGCAGACTTTGTTAAAAGTCACAAAGATGGCCGTGTGCAGGAAACAACAGAAGACGAGGTCCCTGTAATAGGCGAAGGACACGGCCAAGAGCAGCACGACCTGCGGCAGGAAGGCGGCGACGCCCAGGGAGGGGCTCCACGGGCTCTCCGCGGTCAAGTACAGCAGGTAGAAGTACGGAGAGAAGTTGTGCCGGAGGTCCCGCCTCGTCAGGTGATACAGGTAGGCTTGCTCCAGAAACTCCCCGCCGTATTTACTGTAAAAGCCGAAGCAGAGGGCGCAGAACGTGAGCCCGGCCACCGCCACGAAGAGCAGCACGGCCCGACTGCAAAGCCTCCTGAGGAGTTCGCACAGACGCGCCTGGAAGGGGCAGCGGGGCCGGCGGGCGCCCGGGGGGCCGCCGCCGCCGCGCTCCGGGAGCAGGTGCAGGGCGATGGGAAGGAGGTAGGTCACCGGGTACATCCTCATGTGCACGGCGAGGCCGTAGGCCACTGCGGCGCACGCCACCTGCCTCCTCGCCAGCAGGTGCAGCGCCGCCAGCACGAGCGCCGCCACCAGCGAGTCCGCGCTGCCCCGGCTGGACACCGCCATGGGGAGGGGGTTGAGCAGCCAGAAGAGGCAGTAGCCGCAGGCGCGGCGCCGGCCCAGCCCCCGGAGGAGCAGCAGGCGGTAGAGCAGGAAGGCGGTGAGGAGGTCGCAGCTGATGAACAGAAACTTCCCGAAGAGCTCCCCCAGGCAGACGCTGGGCGTGAGCAGCCAGCCCAGCAGCGGCGTGTAGCGGTAGGTGGCCCGCAGGTACGGGGAGCGCCCTTGCGTGATGAAGCGCGCGGCGTCCGTGAACACCTGGTAGTCCACGTCCGTGTAGCGCACGAGCAGCGTCCGGTCCTGGAAGACCCCGTAGAAAACCAGGGCCACCCGGGCGAGGAAGGCCACGCCGAAGACCCCGGCCGGCGGCACCCGCAGGCCCAGGAGCCATTCTCCCCAGGGCCCGCTCGGGCCCATGGCCGCACGGCGCGTCAGCCGCTCGGCCGCGGCCCGGAGCCGCCCTCGGAGCCCCGGCCCTCGCTCGGCGCCCGCGCCTCGGGCGGCCGGCGCACCTCCCGCCCGCCCGCCGCCAACCGGAACGACCGCGGGTCGGTAGCTTCCGGCAGACGCCCCGCCCCCGTCCCGCTTCCGGCGGGAGGCGCCGCGCTCTCAGTGGCCCGGCCGAGGTTGCCTTCCTCCGGATTGGCTGCGTCGCTGCCGCTCCTTCCTCCGGCGGGGCGGGACTTCCGGTCCTTGCGGGAGGCGTGGTCCGGAGGCCCGCGGCTCTCGTCGCGGGGCGGGGCGGTGGTTCTCCTCGCGTGACGCCCTTCCCGCGCCGCAGCTCCGTTCCGCGGAGACGGAGCCAGAGACGGACGGAGCGGCCCCGAGCCGGAGACCCGACAGTGAGATCGCTTGCCGGGCGCCCCACCGCCAGCTCGCCGGTAACCGGGGCTCGTGGGCCGCGCCGAGCATGCGTGTCGCGTGCGTGCCCGGACGTATCCTTGTTTTGAAACTGTGCCTGTGTCCGCGCGCGAAGTGAGCTGGGGGCCGGTGTCTTGTTCGGCAGCCCCGGCGGAGGGGTGCGGGGCGAGGCCGGGAAGGGCGCCCCGGGGCCTCGCGGCTGCGGACTTCGCTCCTCCTTGTGGCCCGGCTGCCTTCCCGTCCCCAGCCAGCACTGACCTTCCAGGCCTCAGCTCGGATGTTAACTCCTTTTTTTTTTTAAAGATTTTATTTATTCATTCATTAGAGACAGAGAGAGAGAGGCAGAGGGAGAAGCAGGCTCCCCGCTGAGCCGGGAGCCCGATGCGGGGCTCGATCCCAGGACCCTGGCATCATGACCTGAGCCGAAGGCAGACGCTTCACGACTGAGCCACCCAGGCGCCCCGAAGATTCTTTTTTTTAAGATTTTATTTATTTATTTGAGAGAGAGAAAGAGAGAGGATGAGTAGGGGGAGGGGCAGGAGGAGAGGGAGAAGCAAACTCCCCACTGAGCAGGGAGCCCGATGTGGCGCTCGATCCCAGGACCCTGGGATCACGACGTGAGCCGAAGTCAGATGCCTAACCACCTGAGCCACCCAGGCGGCCCGGTAGTTACTTTTAACTGTGTTTATTTTGCAGCATACCAGCTACACGTAGAGTGGTAGCACGTCACCATGCTGATGGTGGTGATTCCCAACAGCTAGCTCTGTTGGAAACCTATTTGCAGTGTGTCAGGCATTGTGCTAAAACCTTACCAGGCAAGGTGGATACGCTACCTTCACAGATGAAGAAATCAAGACTTCCGGAGGTGACATAATTTTCCTCAATCACATCATCAACTAATGGCAGAGCTAGAACACAAAAGCAGTTCTCTTTCTAACTACTATGTGGCTAACCTGTAAATAAAATGTTGATGATGAATTATTTCCTTCTCTGCCTCCTCTCCTTTGGTCTCGTCTCAATCTTTCAGATATTTGCTCTCACTGTGACTCTAGCTCTGATCATTCTCTCTGCCAGTGATAGCTAAGTGAGGCTTAGTCCCAGAGAGTAGAGGATATGGAAGGTCCGTGTCTGAGGATTAACTAAGTAACGGCTCCTCGGGCGGCGTTGGTTTAGGTAGTGTGGCAGAACAGCCTCAACCCATTGGACCCTATAGAGCTTACCCATTAAATAGGTGGGAGGCACCAACTTGGGCAGGTAAGGAAACAAGAAACAGTTAATGAAACAAAACTCCACTGGGGTCACTGAAGTCAAAGGCATGAGATACAGATAGTAGTTGTGGGACTGAAGAAGGGACTGGGGTCCAGGAAAATAACTTGGACAGGGAGGTCCGACTTCCCTTCCAGTTTCTAGGTGGGACAGAAGTATTCCAGGCTTTAAGGAGCCCGTACTGAGCCTTGTGCACTGGGCTCAGGGATTCTATTTCTTACCTCTTTCCAAAAGAGCTCCAGTTTTTTCAGATGCTCAGCGGTTCATTACCTCTTGAGCTATTCCGTCCAGTCCTTCCGATTACCCCTTTCACTGGCTGCCTCCAGGCTTCTGCCCTGGTACGTCCAGCTACACACGTGCGTAGCTTGTCCCCAGCATCCTTAGCCAGGGCCTTGAGCTTGGTCACTGTACTGTTTTGCTCTCTTTAGCTTTCCAGATCTATTCTCCATTTTTTTTGCCCTGTTCTGGGCAGCATCACCCCGTCTTCCCTGCCGTCTGGCTCCCCATGAGAATAAGCCAGTGGGAGACGCTAGCAGATCTTTGGCAGTGGCTGAGTCTTGCTGCCTAAGGCCACTGGAGCCACAGCCCCCTCCCTTGGCTACAATTCTCACCAGTTTCCAGTCACCATCCCGCCAGGTTTAAGACTGGTAAAGGCTTTCCTGCTATGGGGAGGCCCTGGGTGCTTCACCATCCCTTGTTGGCTTATTAGCCCTGCCTACACCTTTGTAAATAATCCCTCCATTAAATCCTATCCATATTAGCTCTTTGAGTATACCCTCTGTTTTCTGCTGGAGTACCGGCTGATTCAATCACTGTCCTTGTTTTGTTTTTTGTAGATCTTGCTTATATTTCCTGCTTTGTAATTTCTTTGGAATCTATTCCTAATTCTTTTTTCTTTTTTTTTTTTTTTAAAGATTTTATTTATTTATTTGAGAGAGAGAGAATGAGACAGAGCACATGAGAGGGGGGAGGGTCAGAGGGAGAAGCAGACTCCCTGCCGAGCAGGGAGCCCGACGCGGGACTCGATCCAGGGACTCCAGGATCATGACCTGAGCCGAAGGCAGTCGCTTAACCAACTGAGCCACCCAGGCGCCCATATTCCTAATTCTTTTCATGCTCAGTGTCCTGTACCTTAGTCCAGACCTTCAACAGCTCCATTTAATAATATGTACCGACCACCTCCACTACACTAGGATCTCTGGCAATTACCTTTCCCCCAAGCTTTTGAAAGTCTCATAACTGGTTTAGTGTCTCCTGTCTCTCAATTCTGCTAGGTTGATACTCATAAACAGTACTTTAATTAGATTCTTTCCTTCCTCAAATATCTTCAATGGCTCCCACTGCCTATTGAAAAAAAATAATAGACCATATAGCCCGATATTCAGTCCCTCCATGACACTGCCTTTTCAGTCTGTTCACCTTTATAAAGCCCTCTCTTCTAGGTTTATAACCCATCCTTTACATAATATGCCTGTGCTTTCTTCCTACAGTACTTTTCCTCGTACCACCTACAGAGAATCCTGTTTCTCTTCACTTATCTAAATACTATTTGTCCTTTGATGCTGGACTCTAACCTCAACTCCTCGAAACTCTCCCTAGACCTTAACGGGTGGAAATTATCTCTCCCCTTGCAAAACAGTGGAGCTTTTTGTCTGTTCTCTTTTTTTTGACAATTATGTCATGCCTTATGAAATATGATACCTAAATCTTTTATGGGTATTTAACAAATATACGAGCTGCACTGTGTACTAACTGTGTGAACTTGAGACCTATTTCTTCCCTCCCTCTTCCCTTGCTTCTGCTACATTTATTGAGCAACATACGTGCAGGTCCCGGGCGAAGTGCCAGGCTCTGCTGGTGACCGAATGCTGACATGAGTCCCATTCACGTGGCACTTGAGGTCTAGCGAGTGAGACAGACATTACCCTCTGTTTTCCAGTAAATTCACAAGTACAGTTGCTGCTCTGGTAAGTGCTATGAATGATGGGTATGTGGTGCAACCATAGCTTTTAACAGCGTTTTGGTCTGAGATGAGCGTAGTAAGAGTGAGCAAGGCTGGGGTCGGCAAGCGGTAAGGAGTTCCACAGAAGAATAGCAGGTGCAAAGCCCTTATGGTGTGCATCGTATCCTCCTCCTTTCTTAGTTGAGTGGTACCTTCCACATAATAGGAACTCAGTATTTGCTGAATTTTTCTTGAATCTTAGGTCAAATGTGTTCTAACTAGATCTCATAGATCGATACCTTCCCTTGCCTAGTGCCTGTCCCCGTGAGGAATTTCCACGGGCGTCTCACTCTTAGAACGTGTCGTTGATGGTATATCTGGCCCTTAGTGTGTGCGACTTGTAATATACCTTGTTTTCCTCACAAGTTTGCAAGTGTCTTCAAAGTATAAGGGACTGTATATTTCATATATCCTGTATCTCGTATGTCTTATGACCCATCCCTAAACTAGTGTTTCCTAAACATGTTAGATAAGTATCTGTTGATGATGATAAGAGACCCCGTTTTCTCCCCCCTCCTCCCTCTGTCCTTCCATTTCTGGGGAACAGGAGTCAGTGACTCTGGGATGTGTTACCTCTTGTCAGAGAGGGTTCAGGACTGGATATTGACAACAGATCTTTTTCAGGTAAGCGATGGATAAGAGTAGAAGAAAAATCCATTTCTTTGAATGTTGGGGCAAAGTGCCCAACAATGAAACAAATAGGCTCATAGAGGCTCGAAGATATATAAGGAATGTCTACACAGTAGCGTGGAAGGGAAATTGGGCATGTGAATCCCTGGCTGAAAGGGACGAAGCCCAGGATTCAGAGCAACTTGACTTTGCGGGATTGAGCTGAACCAATACTCAGATTTCTGAGTTTTAACTTTTTTTTTTTTTAAATCCTTTAAAAACAGTGTGAAAAGGTATTTGCTAAAGGATCCTAAGGTTGATGATGGAGCTACGGGAATGAGGGAGGGAGTGGATGATGGCAGTGAACGGGGAGGGCCTGGCCATGTGCTCAGTCCTCCCAGCTCAGCCTCACTCGACGCTCCATTCTTAGGTAGGCCTGTGGGTTCAGGCCCCAATACTAGGATTGGCTTCTATTTCTAAAAGATGCTGCAGTAAAGAACAGAGATTTGTCTATTTTATTCAGCAGCTTATTCTGAAGAGACTAAAATTAAGTAAAATAAACCAAACAAGCTCACGTCTTTTTTTACTAGGTAAATTTGACCTGGTTTAGTCTTTAATGTGGTGACTGGAAAAGCTGTCCCCGGGCACTTGTGCTTCGGTCGAGCTAGCCATGACCGAGCTGTTTATCTACAGCAAGGGTGGCGTGTTACCTGTTACAAAGAAACTGGGTTAACCAGCAGGGGAAAGGGCCAGGGTAGCAGCCTTGGGGAGGGGGCAGTATCCCCGACTTGTATCAACATTATAGCTGGCTTCTTTGCTCAGGCTTCATGGGGAAATTCTTGGATGGTCTTATTAGCTGGCAGAGATGGGTGGTGGATAATGAGGCGGAGCGGAGTCAGGATTTCCGAAGCCTCTCATGGAACCGCACCCTCCCCCGGGGCAGCTGATAACCCCCCACCTCCTGTTTGCCATGCCCACCCCCCCCCCCCCCACAAACCCAGTGCCAGGACTGGGACTCTTCTGGCACAGAGAGCATTTGGGCTGCTTGCAGCCATGTAGAGGGCCGGGCCTCGGCCTTGGGCCCATCATGAGCCCCACACCTCTACAGTCCTGGCGTTTGGAAGCTAGGGTCGGGGCGTCCCATCAGTGCCCCCCACACACCGAAGCACTCAGCTCCCGGTTGGACAGCCTTCCCCCAGCGAGCTGGAGCTGCCATGGCCCCCAGCCCTGTGGAGGAAGGAGACATACAGTGTACTTCAAGAAAAGGACACAGAAGGTGCTTTTATTTTAAAAACCAAAAAAACAAACAAAAAAAGTGCCACAGTGACAGGACACCGCGGGGGTGGAACACGCAGCGGAAGTGGGTTCTAGATGCCCGTGGCCCCAGCGGCCGCCCCCTGCGTTCCTCCTGTCTCCCTCCTCCTGGGCCTCAGCCCGCATTAACGGAAGCCTCAGTGGGCGTCTCCTCACTTAGGAAGAGCAGCTTCCACGCCTCCCTCTCCCGTCATCAAACCCAAAAGCCGCCTCAGCTATCTCGCTTCCACCTTGAAACCAGGATCATTGGTCAAAAGTCTGGAAATCCGGGGAGTCCTGCCCCAAAACCAGAGCAAGATACCTGCCCCCACGCTAACATCTCCTTTCTGTACATTCAGTATATTTGGTCCTATATACATCTATATACATCTCTCTACATATATATTATCTCTGTCTCTTTCTCCTTAGGTCAGCCTTCCATATGTACCATGTCCTACTTCCCGAGCCTCCACCTACGTCTCATCCGCTGGTCCAAGGGAGACTCGGGTTTCATCGATTTCACTGGGTCCCTCAGCAGCACCCTTTGTCATCGTCACACCCTGAGTACCCTCCCCCATCGGTTGTTTTGCCCGTCTGGCATCTCCCCGTTAACATCGGTGCCTAGCGCCCTCCTGACAGTCCAAGTCTGCAGGGCCCATTTCTCACCAGACCTGGCTGATTTTCAAGCTTGTCTGAAAGCCCGAAGAAGGATTTCAGCTCTGAGGAAGAGGCCATAGTGTAAAGAGCCGGTTGGGGGGGGGGAGGGTGCCACTGTTCTCTGGGGAGGATTAAGGGAGGGTCAGCCAGGCTGTATTAAAAGGACAGAATGACTTAAAGTGCAGCTTAGAGCAAAGTCTGGGGTCATGGAGGAGAATCAAAAAGGTTAAGTCGGAAAATGTCCTCATTCTGTTATGCGAGAATCTGAGCAGAGTCTGGGGGCCTAGAGTTGACAGCAGGGGACTAGGGAGAAAGGATTTCCCTCGGGAGGGACGCAGCTGTGCGCAGAAGAAGCTAGTGGAGGATGGCCTGCTAATGGATAAGAAGGTACGCACACACACACACACACACACACTCTCACTCCAGTACTTTGGGCCTTTACACATGGGAAAAAATCAGGTAAGTCTCATGTTGAATAAAGTTGAGAGCCCAGAAACTGGCTTCTGTTCTGTGTCGGATTTTCAAGTTTTTCTGGTTCTTGTTTTCTTGAGAGCTAGGGAGTGTTGGTGGGGTTTGCAGTCAGTGAAGAATGAAGGGTCTTCCTTTTGAAGTCGTAGTTAGCCAAGTTCAAGGAAAGAGGCACATAAGAGGATCTTATGTGGATCTTGTGGTGACCATGGGTCCATCCTCAGAACCATGAGAGTTTCTCTGTAAAGCTCCACACGCAGACGCACGTACCCATTCTGGGTAAGTGTGTAGCTTGTAACAAGCGACCGAGTCCACCTGAACAACCCGCCACTTGATTCATGCACGGACTCTACACCGAGCCACTGTGGGGGCGGGGGGACAGTTCCTTGGTACCTAAATGAGACCAGGAGGCACTCTTGGGATTTGGGGCTTTAGAGAAAGTTCTGGTGCCCGTTTGCCTTTCTTGGCCCCTCCCACAGCCCCCACCAGGGAACAAGGAACAGCCTGAAGTTGATCTCCCAAAGTGTGCCCTTTAACGCACCTGAAGGTGGCTTCGTGGCAGAGGAGAGTGGAGATGGGGCTGGCACCCACTTTATCCCAAGTGTCAGGAATGGCTAAGGAAGACCCAGGTTATTTGGCCAGGAGGCGTGGTCCCCTTCCCTCCCAGCACTGACTAATGAAATAGCCTGTACCGTCAGAGGGGCACAGGTAGGGGTGACAGCCTGTGTCTGCCAGCCACAGAGTTCTGCCCTGGCCCAAACCCTAATAAAGCACCCCCAATTCCAGAGGCTCCACACGGCAGTCTGGAAATCTGAGGATTTGCTCATCCTGCATGGTAGGGTTGATGTCACTTTCCTAGGGATTCTGGGCCCTGTAAGTATCTGGAACATCATTTCCAGACCTTTCTGTGGGGCCTGGGAACATACTGGCAAGGCTCATCCCATCCACAGGTCACCAGGAAACAAATCCTCCCAGGGCTGTGTGCAGAATAGGGTCAGGTTTTGGACAAAAGCTCTGCATTGGTCACTCCACGCTGAGGAGTTCGGATTCCAGAATGGGTGCAGGTGTGGTGGTTGTGACTGTTTCAGATTTCCTGGGTCAGCCTCAATTCTCTGGGAGCAGAGGCAGCGATGAGAGAACTGGGTATCTGAAGAGAGGGTCCACTTGAGAAAATAGAAAGAGGAAAACTGGTGACCAGGATTCTAGGTTATAGTCCGAATTTGCCAGCAGAAATGAACCACGCTATGAAAAACTCGGACTTCTTTCAACAGGGGTTGGTAGAGAACCCAGGATAAATGAATTCCAGATTCCCGTATTTCTAAGGGCACAGACCCCAAAAGGACTGTCAGAGTCTTGCCTTAGGGAACTAGCTGTGTGGGAAATTAGAGGCGGGTGGGGGCCCCAGCCTCAAGTCACCGAACTTGGTGGTGGTGGTAGTGGCGGGAGGTGGGGGGAGTCTATCCAACCAACTGCAGTGGTCCTCCTAATGTGAGTCTCCAAGCATGGCTGAGGCATTCTAAGTCACTTCAGCCTAATCTTCCCTCTCCTTCCCCCATCCTGGCGTAAGGGAGTTGTGCATCAGGTGGAAGTGGGGTGAGGTGAAGGGGACAATGGAAGGAAAGCTCGGACTCCAGTTGGCCTCGCCTAGCCACAGGCCACCAGGGTGAAGCAGAGGGAGTGGAGGATGGGTGCTTCTGGGACTCCCCAGTAAGCCTGGGTAACAGCCCTCACCCAGGATGCCAGAGAGGAGAGACCAGAGGGATGGGGAGGTGGGACACCAGGCCATCAGACGTTGCTGATGCGCACGCTAAGGGCAGCGCCCTCCTTCTCAGCTTGCTCCCGTAAGGACTCCTCCAACTTGAGCTTCTCGGGGTCTCCGTAGCGAACAGTGCTGTCACGGAGGCCACTAGGAAGGGCCACTTTCACAACTTGGTCAAAAAGGCTGAAGTCAGCTATGTATTTGCCACTGGCTGACAGCGAGATGGCAGGTGTGAACTCATAGCCCCAGAGGATCTCCTCCGGCAGGTAGGAAGTGCGCACCTGGCAGGTGGCACTGGTGGATTCCACCGTCCCGCTGAGGATCAGCACCAGCTCAAAGTCACCCTCGCCACTGCGGAGGGGGAGGTCTTTCAGGGGACTGGTCTCATCCACCACATGGTAGAACGTGAGGGGTAGAATGAGGAAGGGGCTGTCAGAGGCCGTGTCGACTTGGAAAGTCACATTGACCTGGTTGAGCCGGATGTTCTCGCCCTCTTTGGTCTGGTGGGTCTGAAGCAGTTTGCCTGTCACCTGGCAGCCAATGAGGAGGCTCTTACGCATGTTGGCAACTCGGATCATGAGGCAGGGCTTCCCGTCGTGCGCAGCAACAACCGCGTGCTGGCTGAAGCGGATGGTCTCCGCCCGCTTCTTGGGCCGGGCGATCTTGGCCAGGAAGGTGCCCGTGATGAAGATCTCCAGGATGGTGGTGAGCACCAGCTGGGCGATCAGGAGCACGATGGCCAGTGGGCACTCCTCACTGATGTAGCGGAAGCCATAGCCAATGGTGGTCTGCGATTCGAGGGAGAAGAGGAAGGCCCCGGTGAGCGTGTGCACCTGGACCACACAGGGGGTGTGATTGGCGGGGGGGCCCAGCTCCAGCAGGTCCCCGTGGGCCACCGCGACCAGATACCACACCACACCAAAGAGGAACCAGGTGCCTGCAAAGGTTGCCGAGAAGAGCAGTAGCTTATAACGCCACTGCATGTCGATGAAGGTGGTCCACAGGTCCTTGAGGTAGAGGAAGCGCTTGTCAGCGATGTGCTCCATTCGCACGTTGCTGCGGCCGTCCTTGGTCAGCACTCGGCGGCGTCGGACCACCGGGCCCACGAGGGGCCGGCTCTCCGTCTGGGTGGTCTGACTGTAGTACACCTTGGCGACTGACGTCATCTGCAGGGAGCAAGACAGCATAATGGAGGTTATTGCAGAAATCCGGCCAACGCCTAGCCACCCCCCGATGCGAAGGAGGAAGTCACACCCGTTTGGTGCTGCTGACTTGTTCTTAGCATTAGCCAATGTTTATGAGCGCTTGCTCTATGCCAGGCGCGGTGCAAGACACTGGTGAGTCAACAAGAAAAATGACATCATCCTTGCACCCCAAGGACTCACAGCCTAGTGAGCGAGACACATTCAGTGAGCAAATAACCACAATGCAGTCTGACACTTGCAATTCTTGGGAGACACAGAAAAGAAAGAGTCATAAGCTCACAGTTCTTTGAAGGTGGGGCAAGAAGAGAGGGCTCTACTGGTCTCTATTCCCCGCAAAACCAGTTCTGGGAAGATCACTCGTTCTGAAATAGGATCCCTCCCCTCCCTCATGAATGGCAGAGCAAGAAAGACTATCCTGTTGAAATCTTTCCAGGCCAACCCCGCTTAAAACACACAAACCCGGGCGCCTGGGTGGCTCAGTTGGTTAAGCGACTGCCTTCGGCTCAGGTCATGATCCTGGAGTCCCGGGATCGAGTCCCGCATCGGGCTCCCTGCTCGGCAGGGAGTCTGCTTCTCCCTCTGACCCTCCTCCCTCTCATGCTCTCTGTCTCTCATTCTCTCTGTCTCAAATAAATAAATAAAATCTTAAAAAAAAAAACCCACAAACCCTTAATTTCACCACCTTTCCCCCAGCCCCAAGTCAGTACTCACTAGTGATGCCAAGATACTCATCTGGCTCAGGACACAGCAGAAACCACCCATCCTTCTACCTTTCAAGATGCCCTCTGAGCCCCCAGACCATTTCACTATGTCTTACTATGATTACTATTATTCCTTTATCATCACCATCACTATCATCATCTATTTGCATCACGTGGGGGAAACTCAGTCTGGGCTGGTGGTGGGGTGAGGGTGGGAAGAGCACAGACAGGACCCGAGCAAAAACAGCTGAGCCATGGTGAAGGAGAACCATCACGCCGAGGCCTCCTGGAGGTGCGGGAACGTTTCCCCAAGGACTGGGGGAAATGCCAGGTCGCCGTGGCAAAGTCACCTTGACCGAGTGAAGTAGGAGAGTTCGTGTATATTAGTTAGCACTTACGTCTGCACTTGCTCAAATTCAGGATTGCTGTTTGTCCTGATAGAAGAAAGAGGGACGAGTCTCTGAAATAGGAGACAGCTCGCTTCCTACAAGGTGCCATCACTCCTGCCCAAGGAGTAACTTGTACTTTTCCAGCAGAGAAAGGATTTCAGTCACTGGAGCCCTTGGACTCTGGATCTGGTGGCCAGACCTTCTGGGAAGAAGGAGGGTGATCTCGGGGGGCAGGGGGCGGGTGGTTGGTCCTTGTAGAACAAAGAGGCTCATCACATTCTCTGTTCCAAAAAAATTGGAACCACTGCATTTTATCATTCTTCACACTGCTCCCTTACCCCATCTTCCCCACGATCTGACACCTGGAACACGAAACTCTTTGGGCCCATTCAAACACCCACCCAAGTAGGCACTAGACTGGTGATCACCAATGGATGAGAATCCCGGAATGTTCAGAAGCAATCAGGAGCCCGTTTTGCCAGCCTCCACCCACTTGGAACTTTTGTCTGAGTGAGACCACTCAGCCAGACCTGGATGCCATCCACTTCCCAAAACCCTTAGCTGCTTGGGAGCAAAGGAGAAGCTCTATAATTCTGAAGTTTGAAGAATTATTATTTAGAGCCCAAGTAAAGCCCCATTCAGTACTCTGTAGTAGCAGTAATATTAAAAACAACAACAACATGCACACCACCTGCATCTCTTTACCATTTTAAAGTTTACAGATTAGCATGCCTTCTCATTTGATCCTCAAACTGGAAAAGATGTGAAACCTCTAAGAGATTCTGAGGAACTATTAGTGGACAGAGAAAATGCTGCAAAGTTGTGGATGGGTGAACATAATTTTAATTTTCAAAAAGAAAAACAAGATACATTTCACAAACTACAAACAGGTAGATATTGACCCAAGGAAGATTCTAGAATAGAGCATTAAGACTGTGAGTACGTGGTGGCTCAGTCGTTTAAACGTCTGACACTTGATTTCAGCTCAGGTCAGTCATGATCTCAAGGTCATGAGATCGGACTCCATGCTCAGCTGGGAGTCCGCTTGAGCTTCTCTCTCTCTCCCTCCCCCTCTGCCCCTCTCTCTCTGTCTCTCTGTCTCTCTTTCTCTCTCAAATAAATAAATCTCTTTTTTTTAAGATTTTATTTATTTATTTGACAGAGAGAGACACAGCGAGAAAGGGAACACAAGCAGGGGGAGTGGGAGAAGGAGAAGTAGGCTCCCCCCTGAGCAGGGAGCCCGATGTGGGGCTCGATCCCAGGACCCTGGGATCATGCCCTGAGCTGAAGGCAGACGCTTAACGACTGAGCCACCCAGGCGTCCCTCTAATAAATAAATCTTTAAAAAAAAGAAAAAAAGATTGTGAGTATGTGAGTACTTGGGCAGGTTGGGGGAAGGGCAGTTATCGGTAGGACCCAGCGTGGGGGTTACCAAGAACAAGTCACATCAACTAAACTAACTTCCTTCCAGGGCAAGGTTACTAGATAAACAAGTCAGAGAAATGCAATAGATAAAGTGTATCTATGTAAGGTTTTTGACAAGATCTCTCATTATGTCCTTGGGGATAAGACTGAGAAAAATGTACAGAATGCTACTCTGATTTGGGGGACTAAAACATACAAAAATCAGTGGTATTCGTGAGTGGATCATGATAGCCTGGAATCTATTTTCTAGTGATGTACCAGAGAGCTTTATCTTTGGCCTTACCCTATTCAATGTTCGTAACATTAATTTTATTCAGAACTATAGGACACATGGCCATCAGTTATGTGGATGACACAAAGCAGGGATGGATTGCAAATACAAGGTCTGGGCAGAATTAGGATCCAAAAGGAGTCAGAGGGGTGAGCCAATTCTAACAAAAAAGATAGTTATTGTGTATGTGTGTATGTATTGGGGTCCAAATATTACCTGAGCAATTCTGGATCAGAAAGGTGTGATGCATTTTGGTTGCCAAAAAAGCAATGCTATTTTAAGCTACTTTAGGCAAATTAAAGTATGTAGAATAAGGAGGTTGTTGATTCTGCTCTGATCTGCTTATCCTGTACCTGCAGTTTTGAGTCTCAAAGGACAATCAGGATATGAGAGGATTCAGAACCAGATCATGTAAGAAACGACTAAAGGAAATGGGGAAGTTAGTTGGGAGAAGAGACGCTCTGAGGGATATGAGTGGCTGCATGCAAATATTTGGTTTGAAGGGCTGTCATGTGAACAAGGGTTTGGACTTGTTCTTTGAGATCTAAGAGGAACCGCCAGGACCAATGAGCTCACACCACAGGAAGAAAGATTCCATATTGATATGACAAAGAACAATGTAACAATCGGGACATCCAAATGTGGCAAGAGCTTCTCCAAAGGTAGAGTGTGCTCTGTCCCTGGAGGGGTTCACGGGCAGGATGGACAAGCACTTCGCCAAGATTCTGTAGAGGGAACTAAAGCTTGGGACGGAGGTTAAGGACTGTCTGTAAGCTTTCACCCGCACTCATGGAGGATCAGGATGCCCGCCCCCTCCGCGCCATCTCCACTCCACACTTCCTGTGGTGACATTCGGGGATCCATCATCAAAGTCCCAGCTTTGTTCGTGCAGAGGAAAGATTCCACATATCTTGAGGAATGGAAGCTCTTGGGGCCCAAGGGAAGGCTTGCTTATCATTCCCAAAACGATAGTCTATGATTACATATCACATGGCAGTTCTTAAAATATGTAATTTGACCCTCACACCATGAACTAAGTACGAAAGTCATCATTAGAATCAGGTTCGGAGATTTGCCCCAAGCAGATTAGTGGTAGAGTTGGACCAGAACCTGGTCTTCCAGCTCCTGGTCCAGAACCTTTTCTTTTCTTTTCTTTTCTTTTTAAGTAGGCTCCACACCCAGCGTGGGGCCTGAATTCACAACCCTGAGATCAAGGATCGCACGCTCCACTGACTGAGCCAGCCAGGCGCCCCCAGAACTTTCCAATTACAGCAACTGCTTCTGGGTCCCCCAGGTTCCTCCCCATGGGTCTCATGGTCTCAGGAAGTGCCTTGTGGTGCCCTGTAGGGAGGATCACAGCCGAGCCACAGAAGACAGAGCCTGGAGCTTCCAGAGCCCCGCATCGGGGCTGCAGATTCGTGGCCCTGGAGATTTGGGCTCCCGGCTAGAACTCTTTGTTGTGATTGCCACCTCCAGCTGTGCACCTGCTGGTGTGCCACCTCCCAGAGCCAGGCAGCTTTGCTCTCCGCGGTGGCCGAGTCGGACCGGCCATCCACCACCCCCTGCGCCCGGCCCCTAAGCCGGCCGGGCTCCCGGGAAGGGAGCGGCCCCAGCCCCGGACACCGGCCGCGCTGCCCCACCTGGAACACACACACGCCTCCCTCTGGAGGGCGCCATTTCCCCCGAAACCGCCCCAGCCCCACACCAGGGACAGTGCCTGAAGACACAGCCAGCCCCCGCGCGGCGAAAAGACAGAAACAGAGACCATCCGCTTCATGCTCTAAGAATTGGACGGATGACTATTTCTCGGAGACAAAGGCCGGTCATGCCCACAGGGGCGCCCGGCCTGCGTCCTCTACAAACAGCACTCTCACCTCCTGCTTCGTGGCTGTAGACGGGCCTAGCTTCCCCCGAGGGCCCACGAGTCATTTATTCTCCAGGTCCAACGGGTCTTCAGAGCCCTTCTGGCGTACAGCTCTGCGCTGGAGCAAGGACACGCTGCTCTTGGGACTCTCGTGACTAAATTGATCCATGGCTCCCCACTGCTTTTAGGAGAAGCTGCAAGCCTCTGAGCACAGCCTTCAAGGCCCTTCATGGTTTGGTCTCTGCCTCCTCACTGGCTTTGTTCCTGCCGCTTTTCTACACGCCCCCTGGACCCCAGCTCTGCAGAGCCTGCTGTTTCATCCTCCCTGCCTTTGGACCTGCTCTCACACTGCTCCGTGCCTACCCGCCGACCTCCTGCTCAGCTTTCAGAACGCAACTCAAGTGTTAGTCGCCCCCTTTGAAGCCTTCCCGGACCATCCAAGAAATAGCAGGTGTCCTGTGTCTCCCTGGCCTCACCCCAGCGTGGCTTTATGAAGCCCGGTCTTGTACACGTTCCTATTTTAGAACATCAGAGTGCTTTGCAATGGCGTGTTCACCATTGTGTGTCGCCTGTGAGCCCTTCACTTAAGGCCCCGGCCTGGGACTTCCACTGTTTCCCCAGTATCGGGGACAGTTAGTTACTAAAGCCTGAGTGTGCAGGAATGACGCCCGCAGGCCCATCCGGACCGAGGCTCGGGAGACGGCGATGCCGCGCTTCTGGGGACCTCCAGGGGGAGCCACGGCGCCGTGGGAGGGAGCCAGGCTCCAGGCGGCCCCACTACCGCGGCCGCCGGTTACAA